TTTCACCCTTAATTTGAAGGGGCATCAGGGACCTGGTCACACTGTAGGGGCCCTTTGCACCCCCCCTCCCCCCCATTGCTACCGTTCGATAACTCCAAAGCTCCAAAGGGCAGTATGATCCAAGGAAAAAAAAGTAATCATTGCTGACGCAGGCAGGACGGGAGCCAGGCACTGTCCCCAGCAGGTCCCATCCATCACTTGGGATTTGGGGACAGGCAGATCCCCCCGGGACCCCCGCGGTCCAGCAGGATCCCAGGGCAGCCTGGCGGGGTTTGTCTTTGTGATCCTGCTCCCCTCGGGAGCTGGCAGTGTCTGGGAGGGGAGGGTCCTGCTCGGGGGCCGCGTCCCCCAGCTCCCACAGGCAGGGCAGGGCGTGCTGGCAGATAGTTGAACATCTGAGCAGAGATTCAATTATATGCACTACTTCATTTATTTGGCTGTCCAGTCGCTCTGATCAGACTTGGAAATTAAGAGGCATGCGGTTAGAGGGATCCTGTCAAATCACATTTAGCCCAGCTCTTCCTTGCTTGGATTTTAAAATGCAGCTCTTTTTTTTACATGACCTGCAGCTACAAAACAACTTTCTGTCTCTCTTCCTAAAGAATTACAAAAAAATCCAGTGGAATGGGGTGAGGGCAGAACCAGTTCCCCAGCTCTATTTCCAGCCTGAACTCTGCAGTTGGAAGTCTCCAAGCACTTTCCACCCTTCTCCCTGTGAGCAGGCGGTGCGAGGGTGCCGGGGCAGGAGCAGCTGGTTGCATGCAGGGCCCTCAGGGGAACGGGGGGGAAAGAAGATGGGAGAAGGCAGTGCAGAATTTTGCAGTCACTTTCCTTGCTGAGGGCCATCAGGATTTGCAATCCTCCTCCCTCAGTTTGGCTCAGAGCTAAAAATGCCCCTCGTCCACACCCTGCGCTCGCACGTGCCGGCAGAGAGGCCTGTGCGGGACTGATAAGGCCACGCTGGGAAGCTGCAGTGAGTCCTGTCACCCTGTCCCCATGGGGAGGGGGCCTGGGGAGCCACCAGAGATCCCATCCTGGTGCTGTTGCAGCTCCAGCATCCTCTGGGATGAAAGCCCTGCGGAATGCTGCAGCAGGGATGAAGGGATGATTCCCCCTCCTCGCTTCACCCCAAGGGATAAACAGAAAGTCCCTTAGAAGCTGATAACCCCAAAGCTGGGGGTGCCTGCAGCATGTCCCAAACTGCAGCTATCCAGGAGGGAACAAACTTCCCCCAGCTTGTGTCCCAGAAGGGAAATCCAGCCCCAGCCTTACTCTGCCTGGCACACTTGCTTCTTGTGCCCAGAGAGTTTCCAGAAGGATGCAGGGATGCAATGGTGTGGCTTGGGCTGAAGACAGCGGAGCTGTGGCAGTGTGGTCCCAGCCTGAGCACAGCCAGGACACATCACATGCGAGGATGTGGGCAGAGGGAGTGGAGCAGAGTTTGTGGCAGCAGCTGGAGCCCCTTCCTCCTGCTGACTCAGATTCTGCTCTACTCAGCATTTGAGGCTGAAAGCGACCACACTGTGCTGGGAAGTGGAATCTTTCTGGGATGCCAGGGACTGACCGGTGTTGTGCAACAGGAAGGGTTGGATGGGTCAGGATGCTGCTGAAATCTGTCTCCCTGTGCATCAGCACTGCTGGGCTCCAGCTCTGATCCAGCACCCTCCAGTTCCACCCCAGGGCTGGGCCTGGTGCTGCTGGTGTCACCAGCCCCACACTGGCATCACTCCTGTCACTACTCACAGCCTGGTACCAGCAATCTTTCCCTTGACAGGGAGTCGTGGCATCCCTCTGTGCCCTGAGCAGGGTTTGTTTTCCCCCTCCAGCCAAGGAGCTTGGGGTCCCAGCCTTTCCCCGCTGCCCAGAGGAGGCCACAGGGCAGCACCCACATGTCCAGGCAGGATTTTTTGGCAAGACTCAGTTGCAGCTCCTTGTGTGTGCGAGAAACAATGTGTCTGGTTAACACTGCGGGGTTAAAAACTGCATTTCGGCTTTTGAAGTGTCTTTGGCTTTTGCTTTTCAATATCCAGGACTTGAGTGGGGAAAGAGAGAGAAAAGCTCCCCAGAGAGAAAGCAGCTGGAGTTTGGGCTCAAACCCTGCGTGGGCGCTTGTCTGCATTTGCTTGCAGGGAATTCAGTGCCTGTGGGGACCAGGGAAGCTCTGAAGGGCTGGGAGCAGGGTCAGCACAGCCCTGGGGTTGCTTTTTGTTATTCGTGACCCAAGCTGGAGTGGCCTCTGCTCTGGGTGCTTCAGTGCTTTCCCCGAGAGCAGCTGGCCCCTTTGTGTCTGGAACCCACTGATAAGGGGCTGGGGAGGGTGGTGGTGGGGGAGTCACTGGCTCTGGGCAGCAGTGGGGACAACCAGCTTGGAGCCAGTGCCTGGAGCCAGCCTGGAGCCAGTGCCCAGAGCCAGGCTCAGCCCTGGGGCTCTCACAGGCAGATCTTTGTTGTGGACTTGGTGGCAGGTCCCAAGCAGCTGGCAAGGGGACAAGGAGGTGTCCTGGAGGGTGACAGCGCTGCTGGGTCATCCATGGGGCCAGGAAATAATCCTGGTGATGATGAAGTCAGCAGAGCTCTGTGTGCCCCCAGAGCTGGGACCTGCGTGGAGATGGGATGCTCCAGTCCCACCTCCCTCCAGGCAGCTTGTGGAGCTCGTGGCCATGACTGGTGTGATGCTGGATGTCACCCAGGGGAAGTGACACATGTGGTGTCGTCCACGGCCCCATGTTCACCTCTCCCCACCACTGTCCCCACTGTGGGTGTCAGGAGGAGTTTAGCTGGAGAGCCCCAGCTCATGTGTTCAAACAAATCACTGCATGTGTGCAAATGAGGTGGGGGCACCAGCAGTGCCAGGGGGGCTGTGAGGGGATTCCTGTCCCAGGACAGTGCTGGGAAAGGCCTCTGCTGTGCTGACTCAGCAACTCTTCCTGCTGAGTCAGCAGGTGCAGCCTCACCCTGGGCCCATGTGCTGGGGTGGGCACCCACACCCCCCTGGGCCCAGCTCAGGGGGCACAGAGCTGATGGGAACAATCCCCAAAACCCCCAAATTGGGCTCCTCCCTGCAGAGCCAGGGATCTCCAGAGGCACTGGGGCAGCCTGAGGCCACTGCCCCTTCTCACCTCAGGGCTTGGGGTGCCCAGCAGCACCCGAGGTTCCTGCCCTCCTCGTCCCCGTGCCTCCCTCAAAGGGCAACTCAGTGGCCTCCCCCTGTCCCCCTGCATGGGGACCCCTGGGCTTGGGGAAGGAGAGGCTGGAAGCAACTGGGGAGGCAGAGGGATGGGACCCCTGCCAGGCTTGTAATTACAGCCCTGCCCAGGCCCTCGCAGGCGAAACCTGAGCCCCGTGGGGAGCAGGGGAAGCAGGAGTGTCCGTCTGCCAGCACAACTGTCTGTCCTGGCCCCGCTCCATCTGGGTGGATGTGGGGAACTGGGACCTGGAGCTCTCATTCCCCCCACTCTGGTAAGGCTGGAGTGCTGCAGGGCTCCATCCTGGATGTGAACATCTCTGCTGATTGTGAGGGAGCTCAAAGGAGTCCCTGCAGGCCCCTGTGTCCTGTCTGTGCCACCTCCCCAGCCTTCCCAGCAGGGACCCTGCCATCCCTGCTCACCCCCGCTGCCTCCAGGTAGGGATGAAGCTCAGGGAGCTTGTGAGGATGGGGAAGGGCCGGTTCCCCTTCTCGTTTTGGTTTTGGCAAATGCTGCCCTGGCTGGCAAAGCCCTCCCAGGGCAGGGCCATGACCCAGCACCCTGAGCTCCCTGTTCCTCCCCAGGTGACAGCTATGGGGTGCTGCCCCGGCCCTGCCACGCGCTGGTGCTGCTGAATCCACAGAGCGGCTCTGGCCGTGCCCTTGATGACTTCCAGGCAGTGGTGCAGCCCATGCTGGCTGAGGCAGACATTGCCACCACTGTCTTCGTCACTGGTGAGTCCATGAACTACTCCTCCTCCTCCTTCTCCCTTCCCTGGGATCCTACCTGAGCCCTGCCACATGGGGAGGGATTGGTTCCTCCAGGGGCCTCTGACTCTGCATCAGCACAGCTCTGGGTCCTACAGGATGTTGCACTTGAGGAGTGACTGCCTTGCCTCCTGCATCCCTGGCTGGGGTCGCCATCTGGGGCTGGGGTCACTGTCTGGGGGTGGCAGCAGGAAGGGCAGAGGGATGGAGGGTGATGCTCCAAATCTCTCCTCTTTCCCCAACAGAAAGACCCCACCATGCGCACGAGAAGGTGCGAGATGAGGACCTGTCGCAGTGGGACACGTTGGTGGTCATGTCTGGGGACGGGCTGCTGTTCGAGGTGAGGGGCACCTCGGGGCTGGGCAGGTGTTGGGAGAAGGGGGTGCCTGGGGCAGGAGCCAAGCTCTGAGTCACAAAGTCAGGCAGGGAATGGCAAAGGAGAGATGGACCAAGCTTGGAGCGAAGCAGCCATCACCTCTGTCCTGCCCTGGGCAGGGGCTGCTGTGTTCCTCGGGTACCACAGGCTCCTTCATCCCCACAGGTGGTGAATGGGCTGATGGAACGTCCAGACTGGAAGGAGGCCATGAAGAAGCCGCTGTGCATCCTGCCAGGAGGCTCTGGGAATGCCCTGGCTGCCTCTATCAACTACTATGCAGGGTGAGTCCCAGCCCCATGGGACATCCACTGCCCCCCTGCAGGGCTGCGCTGGAACCAGGCGAGGATGAGGGAAGAGAAAGGCTCTGTGGGGCTCCAGCCCAGGGAAGGGTGATGGGATGCCCAGGGGTGCCTGGCAGGGTCCTCACTCCCCACAGGCTGGTGCAGCACAGCCCCAGCTGTGAGCAAGGGATTAATCCCTGTGTATCCTACTCCCCTCACTCCCTTTCTCTTCTCTGGGCTCAAAGAGCAGTAAAAAGACCGGTAAAGCTTTAACCCAAAGGATCCACCCCAGACACAGCCAATCCCATGGTGGGGGGGACCAGGATTGCCCTGGTCTTTCAAGAACTGGTTTATCCCTCCCACTCCCAGCAAAACTACTCCCAGCAGCTCCTGAGGGACACTGTCACCCAGCTGGGACATGTCCCAGCCATGACACAAGGGTGAGGTCTGCAGTTGGATGCTGGGGCAGCAGGAGGGGTCCCTGAGCTCCAAACTCACCCCCTCCATCCCTCACAGCTACGACCACGTCGCCAAGAAAAAGCTGCTGACAAACTGCACCTTCATCCTGTGCAAGGGGCTGTACACGCAGATGGACCTGGTGTCGCTGAGCACGGCCTCGGGCAAGCGCTTCTTCTCCTTCCTGGGCTTTGGCTGGGGCTTCATCTCGGACGTGGACATCGACAGCGAGAAGTACCGCTGGCTGGGCAGCGCCCGCTTCACCCTGGGCACCCTGCAGTGCCTGGCCAAGCTCCGGGTGTACCAGGGCCGCCTGTCCTACCTGCCCATGGCCGCAGAGCAGGGCAGCTCCCCGGCAGCCCGGGCCCCTGCCCCCCGACTCGCTGCTGGTGCCGCTGGGCCAGCCCGTGCCGGCGCACTGGACTGTGGTCCCCGAGGAGGAGTTTGTCCTGGTCTACGCCATCTACCAGTCCCACCTGGGCACCAACCTGCTGATGGCACCGGCGGCCCGGCTGCACGACGGCTGCATCCACCTCTTCTACATGAAGGCCGGCATCAGCCGCGTGACGCTGCTGAAGCTCTTCCTGGCCATGTCCAGGGGGACCCACCTGGACTTGAACTGTCCCCACCTGTGCTACGTCCCCGTCCGGGCGTTCCGCCTGGAGCCGCGGGTGGCCGCGGGCATCATGACAGTGGATGGGGAGGCTCTGGCCTGCGAGCCCGTGCAGGGCCAGGTCCACGCCCGCCTCTGCCGCGTCCTCAGCGGCTCCTGAGCTCCCGTTCGCCCTCCCTGCAGCGCTGAGCTGCCGGCACGGCCCGGCGCGAGGGTGGCAGAGCCTTCCTCCCACTCAGGAACCCCCTCCTTCCATAGCAATAGGTCTTGGGGGGGCGTGGGGCTCATCCCCTCGCTTGCCCCCACGCTTAGCTTTACCCCTTTGGGGCGGCTACCAGTGCTGTTCCAAAAATGAGCCACAAGCCCCATCAGGTACTCGGTGCCGGCGAGATGCCAGCGTGGTTTATCCTGGTACGAGGTCCCGGCCCCAGGCGGCTGCGCCGGCACAGCCCCGTCCCCTCCCCGGCTCGGACGCACACGGTGGCATTGCTGTGTCCCTGCCCCGGAGCCAGTGCCACCCCCCAGGGTGGGTCAGGACCAATAGCTCTAATACAAAATAAACCGACTTTTTAAAGAATGTTTCTACCCGAAGCTTCCTGTAGAAGCGGAGTTTATTCTTGTGAGAAATGCAAAATAAATATCTAGCGTTTGCAAAAAATATCCTTCCCGGGTTTTGAATCCTGGCTCACGGCTGCTCGGCGGATGGCAGGACAGGTTTAGCTGCAGCCTTTTGCTCCCTGACATCCTGGGGCCAGGAGCAGCACGGAGCGAGGGGCCCCGGAGATGCTCCCAGGGGAGATGCTGAGGATGCAGGACACGGAGCATTGCTGCCGCCCCCCAGCCCCGGTTTTGGGGGGCAGCGATGGCTCCGTGCTCAGCCTCATGCTGGGGCTGATCGTACCCAGGGAGCTCAGCCCTGCAGTGACACTTGGGGACATCCTGGGGAAAGTTCGGTGCCTCTGAACGACAGCAGGGAAGGACTCACGGAAGAGGTTCAAGGAGGGGTCGCTGAAGCTGAGGGGTTTGGCTTTGTGCCCGCAGCAGGGGCCCTTTGGGGGGCTCTTGCATCCCATTTCTCGGGCTGCGAGGGGCCAGCTGGAGCCCTGCTGCAGGTCCCTGCCCTAGGGCTTGCCTGGGGGGGATTACTCAGCCTCTTTGGTATAAAATTGCAGTAATTAAACCTCATTTTCAGCGCTCAAGTACAAAGCAGAAGAGTAAACAGCGGTGGCTGTTTGCATTTATTCAACTGCAAACTATGCAATTAGGACGGCAGATCCGGGAAAGAAGAGCACGATTGTCCTCCCCCCATGGCCTCACTTGCTCATGGAGAAGAGCCCTGTATCTGAGCCAGCAGGGCAGGCCGCAGCTGGGAACCACCTCCCAAAATCAAGTTAATTCCCCCGTGGCATGGGGCCAGGTGTTAAAACAGGCCGAGCAATAACTCTCTAACCCAGCTGAGCTGCTGGAGGGAGAGCCCAGGGCAGGGGATGCGCTCAGCAGAGCGGAGCTGTTCAGGCTCCTGTCTCCATCCCGTGTGGCTCCCAGCAGCAGCAGGCTGGCCGGGATCGCCCTTGCCCTCCCTCTCCCGGGTTTCTGCCATCACCCATCTGCTTCCAAAAGCTCCGGCCCTGCTCCAGCACAGCCCCTCGCTCCCGGCACCGAGGGAGGGGCAGAGGGTGCTGTGATAACTCCAGCACACCGAGCCACTGTCCGTGCCGTGCACCTCCAGCTGCTCCTGCAGCCTGAGGGGGAGCAGGGAGGGCCCCCAGGGGGACAAAATGTAAGTCAGGACTCCCGACTCCACATCACTGCTCCAGATTTCAGCAGCAGCCGGCAGGGGGGGACGCCCTTGGCCCCCAGCGGCCGGGACACGGCTGTGCCCAACCTCATCCATCACACACTTACCTGTGCACAGGTGAGGAGCAGGGCAGGGCTCCAGGGATCTACCAGGCTGGGGGGGCTGCAAAAGGGATCTTTTTGCCTGAGTCTGGCCGTGATGACCGGGGCTGCTGGAAGTCGTGCTGGGGCACACAGCTAAGCCCACCTGCAAGCCCCAGGCAGCATCAAGGACCACAGAAAACCTCCAGCCTGACAGATGCCCACTGTAAATCAGGGTCTTGGGGAACAGTTTCTAGACAGCCACAGTGGCAGTCCCTCCCTGCCAGACCTGCCTGGATCCCTCTGGACTCGCCAGTCTCGGCTTCAGCCAGCGGGACCCTGTCCAGCCCCGGGGCTGGCGCAGGGATGCGCCCAAGAGGGGCAAGTGCCAGAAGCGTGGCGGGGGTGGTGGGGGAAAGAAAGAGACAACTCGCAGAACTACTCACAGAGGCAAAATTTAATGGCAAGTCATCTTCCCTCCTTTATTACACCTTGGTTAGCCAAACAAAAAAAAAAAATCTGCAGGTAAAAAAAGTTTTAATGGTCACACAGCACTTTATACATATAAGCAACCAAGCATCCACATCTGCACGTGAACAACACACCTCTAAGCATGGCCTCAAGTCGGGTTTTTTTTTTAATTCATTAAATACTGTACAGAATCAAGGCTACAAACTGATTTTTTAATGCTTCTTCCCCCTCCCCAGCACTTAAAACAGTTACAGGCTGCTCTCATTTGTACATCACACAGTCGTGTAGCCAGTTTTAAGGCTAACAATATGCATCATGCTTTGGCTTTTTTTGTGTGTTTTTAATTTTTTTTTTTTAAGGTTTTAGCCTTTTAGATTTTGTTACCCTTAAATATTACATACATACACAAAAAATTACATAGCTGCAGTGTGCTCACCACCAACTTCATCACCCAGGAGCTTCACATTATCAAAAGCTTTAGAAAATTTGTAAACCTCTGTGCACGCTTGGGTTTGGGACAGTTGCAGAGAGCGAGCGGTGCCTGGGGGAGCAGTGTCCCCTTCCAGCCCAACATCCACCTCCTTGAAGGGAGCCCAGCCTGTGCAAAAGCTCTTGTGTAGGATCAGAGACCTTTTGGGCAAAGGGGAGGACATGGTGCCCACCTGGCCCCAGCCCTGTGAGATGAGAGCTGCAGAGTAAAGGAGGGGGAAAGGGGAACCCTACAGCTCCTCCATCCCCAGTGGGTTTCTCCCTCCCTCTGTCACTGGTCCTGTGGGTCTAGGGGCAGCACAGCCCGGCTCTGGGGACAGAGGGTGTCAGTGTCTGGCTCACTAACTGTGGCTGTGCCTGGAATCAGCCTCTGTGCCTGTTCTTCCCCTGCCCTGGAGCAGTGGCCTCACCCCTTGCCCACGCTTGCTCCCAGCCCTCTGAGACACTCCCGTGCTCCGCTCAGAGGGATCCATTCCCTCCCGAGCGTGGCCATGTTACAGCTCCAGCTCGCTCTGCCCTGCCCGTGGCTCCCAGCACCTCTCTGCACCCCCAAGTCTGCCCAACTTCCCACCTGCCAGGCAGGGAGGGCTCCTGCAGCGGGGCCGGAGCTGCTGCACACATCATCACCCACAGAGCAGTGTCTGGAGAGCTCTGGAGCCCAGGTCTTCATCACAGCCAAGCCCTGCATCCTCCGGAGCATCAGAAGAAGGACGTGTCTTCCAAAATCCTAATGCTGGATGGGGACATGAGAAGGGCTTTGTGCAGCCAGCCCCTGGCTCAGGAGCATCATGGGGCAGCAGGAAAGCACCTGGGGCAGGGAGAGGGTGTGTGGATTTGGGCTGGTGGGTGCAGCCATTGGTGCTTCTGGAAGCAAAAAGCACTGTGCCAATGTGCTGGGATTCTCTTGCTGTTCTCCTTTTCTAACTGCAGCCATACTGAGCAAGAGCAGAGAGCTTTGGCTTCATCCTTACCTCTGGCAGAGCCATCTGCTCAGCCTGACTCCTCCCTGGGAAGCCTGGCACCACTGCCTCCCTGTGCAGCTGGAAGGACTCTCGCTGACAGAGTGTGCTCCCCGTGGATGCTACGTGGGTGCCTCTCCAATGCCTGAGCACTGGGCAAAGGCAGCAGGGCTGGAGTGGGACCACCCAGCTCCAAGTGAAGGTGTGTGCAGACAGAACCTGAGGCCCCAGGAAGGGGACTTGACCAGGGGACTCTGGCCAGTCACTGCTTCAAAGTGCTCACGGTCACCAGCTCAGGCTGTGAAACACAGGCTGCCCTCACCAGGTGCTTCCCAGAGCATCCAGCAGTGCCGTGGTTGGGATTAGGGATGGGAAGTGCTGTGCCCACAGTGCTGCTGGCCTGCTCAGCCAGGCCACCATGGGAAACAGCTGGCAAGGGAAGGAGCTGATAGCAGCCCAAACCAGCGCTGCTGTAACAGCGCAGGAACCGACACAAGCTGGTGCTGCCACAACAGGGCCTCGCCCTGACACGGCTTTCCTGGGGTGACCCTGACTCCCAGAGCTCCTGAACACCCCAGTACAGCTGGATGAGGGAGCAGCAGCCATGCCAGGTTCATCCAGATCTACAACAGGCCCCAGGATCACTCGCTGCTGCCTGCCCGGGTGAGGCTGGGATCCAGGGTGGGTGTAGTGCTGTGTGACAGCCAGGATGGCTGGGAACAAAAGACTCGGATACCTAAGCAAGTAACGAGGGCAATACCCTGAATCCCATGTACTTCTAGAAGACAGGCATGCATGGTGGGGAAGGGGAAGTTTGCCTCACTCTGGAGAAAAAGAAGTGGGGATGGCTAGACTTGCCTCCAGGAGACTGACCTGGAAGTTGCAGAACTGGATGGAAAGTCTGCAGCACTCCCAGGGCAGCACAAGCGCCAGTGCAGAGCTCTGGCCCTGCCTACCAACCCCGACTGGAAGAACCTTGTAGCTATGGGTAAACAACTAAGACTAGAGCAACTCTGTATGGTGCAGACAACTCCAATGCGAACACAATCCAATGTCTAAGTACAGATAAGCTGGGGTAGACTTCATAGAACCTGTGGGAATGCAGAGAAACATAAAAGACTGGGAGGGCATTGCCCTTCATTTCCAGAAACTACAGCAATCCCTTCTCCTGGCTGGAACCCCACCAGAACAACCTGCTGGGTGTAGCGCTGGGTAGGAAGAGTCCTTGTGTGGAAAGGTGCCCCAAGATGAAAGTGCAGAGGGAACGTGGCTGCAAGACTGCTTCTGTGCAGGTCTCAAATCTTACCATTGCAGGGTCAAACTTGCAAGAAGAGCACGTACATGGGACAGGGGGAAGGAAGAGGGGTTGGGGGAAAAGAGTTATTCATGCTTAAACAACCTTTCCTCAGAGGAGCAATCAGGCCTAGCACCTTCTTTGGAACAAACCAAGCTGAGGAAGAAAAGCTGGAAGGAGAAGCCAGTTGATCGGTAACAGCATTTGCCAATTTACTTTTTGCTGCTTTCCCTTCTCCCCTGCACCTGCCTGTCCCTAACCTGATGGTTTATTTGTCCTCTGTCCACTCCGGGATGTTGGCCCCTGCTAAGGCAGCCCGGTACTGCTGCAAGACACCGCGGATGCTTTTAATGAACCCCTTGGACAAAGGGAAGAGGGGAAATCCAATATCGGGGTAACCGCTCTTCTCCGGCAGGAAACTCCTGTAGCTCTTTCTCCTTTTCTTTGGTTTCACACTGGGCTGCGAGGCAGAGTCCTGGGCAGCCTTCCCCTCGTCCGTT